TTCCCAGCAAAGGAGAATGGAGCGGGTCAGGACCCAGTTCAGGGGTCAGGGCAAGGCACAGGGTCTGGAGTCACGTACACAAAAGTGTAATAAATCTATGGCACCTCCTTAGCTTTCCTCGTTTATTCAGGAATGTAAGTACACTTAAGAGGCTTGGCTTGTTAAAAACCCCACCGAAGAACGAGAGCAAGAAAACGTCACGTGGCTCATTAACCCTCTTAAAAAATGCATCGACCATAGGCCTAGAAATATCTAAGGCAAAATGCCAACCTCGGGGGTTTTCAACTCTCCAGTTTTAAGTACTAGAGACAGAACTTGTGCACAGAAACATGAAAACTTTCCAACAGTGGGCTTTTAGCAGCTCTTAGATCCCAGGGAAATACTTGTTCCTTCACAATCCAGGAGCTGTGACCAAGGTGCTTTGTGTCTCAGAGGAGAACGGGCCGAGCTTTCGCTTACACAGCTAATTTAATAGTCCCTTTTTCGTCGCTTTTCACAGCACCAAGTTCTTCCAGGACTTGTATTCTTGAGTGAGTGGGTTTCGTGCTCATCTCATCCACCTGTGAAATACTCAGTACTACTCTGTAAGACAAAAACAAACGATTTACCGAAACATGCATCACAGGCAGAAAAAGGCTAAAAAGCCCATAATGGATGATTTCTGTGAGCGCTCTGTAAATTCACCCTTATTACACCATCAGCTTTTCTGTGCTACTTCAAATCACAGAAGTCATTTGCTAATCCAGCCTTGGGGTTAAAGAGACAGAATTCCCGAGCTAAAAACTTGTTTGTTTGTAACCTCAGCGTGCCAGAAATCCACAGCACATTCCAGGGAGGGATCAGGGCTTGGAAAGGCAAGAGGGGATGGGGAGGGGAGGGCAGGGCTTGGGGGGTCAACGGTTTAGTGTCAGGGCTTTGCTTTTCCAGTCTGGCTGCAGACTGTGGACACTAAAAGGGCCTGGCAGTACGACTGTGTCAGCAAAACTTCCCTGAACAGCCCCAGACCTGGACATCTGTACAGTGAAAACAAAGTGAAAAGGTCTGAAGAACCTCAAGTGCAGCTTTGACAGTGATCAAAGCATTTTTACACACATTAATTCAGGAGGGTTTTGTATAATGGTCTAACACTTTGGGGCGTGTACCCAATCAGGAAGGGTGTAGGGGAGTAAAACCACATTATGAAGTTATAATATGGCACTGAATGGTTAACTCTTTGAGTTTGTTTAATTTAAAAAGGGCTGAGTTTCTTTAGAGCTTATGAAATTCTTGCTATTGAACGGCTTTAAATCTTGTTCTTAGTCACTACAAAGTGGTTAAATAACTCCCTGTACAAAAAGTTCAAGTCTGCTGATGGGACAGATCATCTGCTGGGCCTGGGTACAGTCAGAAGCATTTCCTCAGTCAATAGTTTGAACTGGGATGCCAAAAAATTGGAAATGGAAGATATTTGGTGAAAAAAACTGGAAATAGAAAATTTTTGTTTCTCCAAAAGCTAGGGCAAAGAGAGAAAGTACTTCCATTACTGTTTAATAATCCCTCTAAATGGCTCTAAAGGAAGACTTTCCAGCAAGAAGAAGGAGGGAAGGAAGATACTCCCTCCAAACTATCACTGTATCTGCAGACCCAGTGAAAAATCACTTAATTTGAGCTCTGATGGGGATTGACAAAGCTGGTCTGTCAGTGACTATTTAGCTGTGTTTCAAAAACCAAACCAAAGCAAAACAGGAGAATTCCTTTCCATAAGAAGAGATAAATGGATTTAAAAGAGCTGTTTTATGGCAAGACCATTTCTTCCATAGCATAAGCAAAGCAGAATGCACTTCAATCCCCTCAACAGCAAGAAAAAATCCCAGAACTATCCACAGAATGTAAGTAGGAGCTCAGGTTCTTATACTAAAATCTGAATTCTTCACAGGAAAGCAGGAATTACTTGTGCTTGAGAGTGAAAACAGTGAATTTACTGTCTTTATTTACAGGTTTTACAAGAAGAAAACTGTGGGAAGTTTATTTTTTCAGCACTTACCTTTATCTGAGTCAGAGTCTGTAGGTCCTGCACAACGTGACTACAAATAAACACGGCAAAAGTGTCAGGATTTGTTGTCAGGATTGCTTAGAAATTCTATTTTGCTTTCATTCCTGCACAAGTGGTTACATTTTACCACTGGATAACCAAGGATCTTGCAGCTGTCACCAGCACAAGGGATCAAACACAGCTTCAAACAAAACTGAGTTTCAAATGGATATAAAATGGCAATAAAGGGACAGAAAGTGGGGTGTCCCTGTGACAGTGGGCAGCGAGAAGGCATATCCAAAAAGACAAGATCAATCAGATAAATACACTCTATTGACCCTCTTTAATATTGTGTTTTTAACATGACACCCAAACCAACTATTTGCAGATAATTACATTGGAATTTTCTGCTTTGAGCTGTGGGAGAACATCCGACTTTTCAGCAAATCTTAGTTTATATCTGTGTTCTGCTGCAAGAATACTTGGTTACTCATACCCAGAATTCATTTAATATTTTACAGGAAATTAAATCTCTCTCCACGTTGAGATACGTTGGTTTGGATCATTTACATCCCTCACTCCCACCCAAAGGTTTTTTTATCTCGTGCATTAACAGAACAAGAGGATCAGCAAGAGCAACCAACTGCATGCCTAAATTATGCCATAATTACCTTTTCCACTGGCGATTCCGGATTTTCCCCAATTTCGATGCCCAGCTGCTCTGCTGCAGCCTCTTCTGCTGCTGACAGGGGGGAACTCTAGGAAAAAAAAATAAAAAGCAAACACAGAGAACTCTGATCCTTCAGTTCCTGAGTGATGACATTTACAGAAGGAACTCAGTGTTTATAGAGCCCTTTTCTCATGGACACTCAGAGCAGACTCTCCCTGAGATAAAACACAATCTCAGGGCAGAGTCATTAGAGCATTGATCTAAATCACCTTATTAGTAAAGGGACAAAATTAATGCCTTCACAATCTCCTCATAGCTGAAACAAAGCAGTGTCTGCAGATCACTTAGGGAAATGTGTTCTCGGTTTCTTCAATAGCTAGAGAGGCGTCATCCCACCCAGGAAAAATTTATAATCCCAGGGTGTTTGTTTAAATCACAGTTTGTTACAATGTGCTGGTTTCAACTGACTCACTTCAGACAGTGAAAAGAACATTTTCCATGTAAAAGCTTTTTTGCCTCTTAAAATTGCTTTCACTGTCCATTTTCCATTCCTAGAAGATGTGTCAGCGTGGCCCCGGGACACAGCTGTGCACAAAGGCACTGATTTCCCTGAAATTCCTACTGAATTATTGACACCACTCAGGCATTACTTCAGCTCCCAGTCTGAACACAGCTATCTTAACTGCTGGGGAACTGGGATTTACAAAAAGAGCTCCAATCCTGCAGGAATTTCTTCTGGGAAACCATGTTCTCATCTTCTTCCAAGAGCCTGCACTGTGTACAGTTTCCATCACAGTAAGTAAAGGCTACAAAGTACCTGCTCATTTATAGGAGTGGAAACAAAGTGATTGAAAGGAAACCACTACCTCAAGACAAGCTTTTTGCTGTAAATCCAGAACTATCCTCAGTGTGTTCTCCACAGAAGCTTGGAGGCCCTCCGTGGCTTCTTTCTGCTCCCTGGATATTCTGTTCATCCGTGCACACAGCGCTTTGTAACGAGCTTTTGCCGCTGAGAGCCCCTCCAGGACGGCAAGTGGGTCCTCCTGAGGAGAAAGGAAGAGCACATTTACACCAGGCCAGCAAAGAAAATTAATCTGGCTGAGCACCAGTTAAAAGTGCAGGCGTTGGAGGCACCAGAACTGGACATGGAATGAGCCTGTCCAGTGAAAAGTGTGGCTGGAAGAGTGTTCCAGCTCTACATTTCCTTTTCCACGGATGGTGTTCATACACCTGCATAACTCTGTGGTCCCACAACAAGCGCAGGAGGAAGAATTTATTGTGTTGGAGACCTTTAATAGCTTTTCTGAGATAGAATTCTACCAAAAGAGATGATTTACTGCTGTTATGTTACAATGATGTCATTTATTGTTCTTCCTTTCATCTCTCCCCCAAATATCAATGTGCTTATGAGCAAGTTGAAGTTGGATCTCAGAGCTCAGACACATCTTTGCTCTGTCTCTTGAATTTAGGGGTCACCACTACTAATTTCTCTCATGGGAGAACTCCCCTGTACCAAGAGACCAAGGGGGTTTTGTCTGAATTCATTCTAGGCCAGTTACCTTGATAAATGAAACAGGGAATACTTTCTAATAATAACAGTAATAAAACCCTAACAAGCAGATAAAAGAACGGTCCCATTTGTTACCAACTTCATAGAAAATGCAGTAAAATCTATAAATTTAATCCCCCAAAAAATGTTAATTATTAACCCTACCTCTGGTAGTGCATCATCAGGAAGATTTCTCCTAATTTCATACTCCAGCCTGTGTTGAATCCAATCCAGATCAGCCTCTGCCTTCTGGAACTAAAACAGAAGGTCAGGCACAGTGTCTTAGAAACCAAAAACTGCAGAGGAGCCCCAACCATTTGCCCTTCCTGTGTTTCAGGAGAGCAGAAACCAGTTTTCAAACCTAGTATTCTCCAAGTTCTGTCAGCAGAACTCCCACCCAGCAGAGATCATGAGCAAGGGTTCAGGATCCAAGAGCATCACCAGAGGTTCTGCTGTCCTTTATATCAGGGATGTGTTCCCTCAGCTGCTTTTAATGCCCACAACACATTCCATTATTCCCCAATAAACCAGGCTGACTAACAGCCAGTAAAACTGATGACATCACTTCTCTCTCCTTGGGATAAAAAAGCCGCCAGAGAATTATCTACTTGCCTTGGTAAAGCAGCCTGCTGATAGCATTGCCACTTAATTAATTTCAGCCTGCGATTTGAATATAACTGTTAAAGACTTCCACTTTAAAGGCAGGCACTTTTCCCAGCTCACAGGCCACTCACTCCATTTTTTTACACCATAATTTGGTGGGGTTTACAGTCGCAGAAGAGGCAGGGATGAAAGCAAGTTAAAAACGGTTGGAAGTTCCTTAATTTGGTTAAAATATTTTTCATTACACTACAGATTTTTAAAGAGCTCTTGAGGGATTTTCTCCTTAACTGCCCGATCGTTTCTCTTCCTCTCTGCTAAGCAAACATTTTTAGGTTTTCATTTCCACAGGCAGGCACCCCAAAAAGATGATTCTTGTTTTTTTTTTTTTTGCTTTTCTCCAACTCCTCCATTTGATGTGTAATTTACTCACGGGCTTGGGAGGGAGGCTGAAGGTGCTCTGCTCTCAGATGCTTTGACAATACTATTGCACTGCTCGCTGGACAGGACAGTAGTGCAATAAAGTCAGAGCACCCGAGAGCAGCAACAGCTCAAAACACGCTCAAAAAAAGGCAAAAAAACCACATCAGTTGCTGTAGATCACGAAGAACTGGCTAATATTCAAGTATATAAAATATTCACATATTCAAAGACATTGTTGTTATTATTGTTATTTATAATCCCCGTCGTTCCACTGACCAAAAGGGGGGAAAAAAACCCACCAAACCACCCAACAAAACAATCAGCAGAAATTCGGTTTCAAACAATTTTGGTGCTTTTTTAATTGGAAACTACAATTCCAAAATGTATTTATCCCTTAGGTTTGCCTCGTAGCGAGAGAAGGTTCTGAACTGCTGTCAGACAGATGTTCCTAAACTGCATCACAGGCAATATTTTCTAGACATCAGAGTTTGTTCTTTGTAATCTGCAGGTGCTGAATCACTTTAGAATGTAATGGAACGCTCATTTTCCAGCTCTTATCCCAACCTTATCCCTGGGGTTGCCACCTGGGTGTGAGAGAACCATCACTGTGGGAGTGTATTTCATAAATCTAAATGAAGGTGGTTTTTTAAATTAACTTCATATTGAAAGTTTGAGAACTCTCAGGGTTTGAAGGTGCTGAGATCCTTAACAACACAATGCAAAGAAACCTGGGAGTGGAGAGGAGAGGAACTAGGAATGCTGGACAGTGTTCTTTGCTCCTTGCAGGGCACTCATTTATCAGGAAAGACATTGAGATGATGATATTTGTCACCAAAAAAAAAACATTTAATAATTCTCCTTGGCGAGAAAGTAGAAGACATGGAGTCTCCTAGCAAAAAAATCAGTGGCAAAACCATTTCCCAGCTGTTTTGCAGATCACCTGCTGGTCTCAGGCAGTGACTTTGGGTGTGGGACTGTAGCAAAAATAAGAATATAACGCAGACAGCATTGCTGGCCAATGCCCTTTTAACATTGCACTGCTTTTTGTGCATCATCACTAGTAGTACAACATAAAAAGGGCACTGGACAGACACCATTCCAGGCAAAAAAAAAAAAAAAAGGCAGGTCCACAATACCAAAAATCCAGTGACAGAATTGAATAGCTCTGAATGAAGCTCATCTGGCAGTTTATCCATTTATTATCCAGTTTTTTCAGTGGATGCCCACAAAGTTTCCCTCAGTGCTGAAGGAGTGAGTTGTCACCACGCTGAGTTCTCCCTGCAGCCCTGACTGTGCCTGCTGGAGCTCTTGGAAAGGCCTCCATTCCCAGCTGACTCCAAGGAACTTGTGCAGCCCAGTCTCTGGTGAGTCCTGGAATACCAGCACTGGCTGTTCATGGAATGTTGGGGCTGGAACGGCCCTTAAATTTATCTCAATTTAAATTGAGAGCTTTATGATTTTCCTGTCATTAATCTCATGCTGTAGATGTGATGGTGTTCCTGAACAATTGATTACCTGGTATTTTCCTGCCCATCGTTCTGTTTAAACTCCCGCTAATTAGTTTATCCCTGGTTCCTTAAAATGAAGCTTCCCATGAAATTTGTGTCAAAACCTCGGGGGAAAGAAGTGTTTTATCACAGCTCTGTGGGGAGAGCTGAGCTCAGGGGAAATCCAGGAAGAAGAAACAAGAAGCAGAAGGAAAAGCAAAAGAGACACAAAGCTGGGATTTGGGAAACTGTTCCGAATTTCACCACCAGGTGTAAAATACCCTGTTAACTTTAAGGGGGCCAAAAAACACCTCTGTGACTATTTACATGTCAGAGTCACTTGAAAGTAAGACTTTCAATAAAACACGTATTCAAACCATATTAACTAAATAATCAATCCATCAATCAATCAAAAAATACTGTGATCCAAGTGCCTCTAAACATATTTCTAAATTATTATTTCTAGACTAGGCTTAAAAAAAAAAAAAAGAATACTAAGAGAAAAGATATGGGGAGACCGAGGGAGAATCTTTAATGCAAAAATAGATTAGAGAGAAGGGAGATGGAGGTTTTAGGGATGCCAGGAGGAACTCGGCCGGTGGGGGACAGCTTTCCAGCGCCCCTCCATCAGGGAAGCACAGCACAGCTCTTTTCTGGGAGGTTATTTTTTCGCTTTTTTCCCACTTTTCCAAGAGCGGGGCAGACAGGGAGGCGACCATTCCATAAAGGAGAACCCGGAGTCCAAGGCTGGGAAAACTCCTGGAACTGGAGCTGGGAAAGAAGGGCCCCCCCCTCCCCCCCGCACTCAAAATGGTCCAGCCCAGGTGAGCGCTCCTCCCTCTCCCCCCGTTGGGACGGAATGGACTCTCCCCCCCGCGCCCCGCTGTGCCCCGCGTTCCTCCCACCCCCCTTCCCCGCACATGGTGCGGCCCGGCCGCGTCCCCCGCGCAGTGGGCGCGCCCGCCCCCCCCCCCCAGGTGCGCGGGAATGGCCGCGCCCTGCCCCGCGCCGAGCGCCGCGCAGGCCCCGCCCCGCGGGGGGGGCCGCGCAATGGACCGGCCCGGCCGAACCCGCCTGACCCGGACGCGCCCGTCGGGAGCCCCGCCGAGGGCGGCGCGGGCCGCGCTCAGGGCCCGGATGCGAAGCGGCGGGCGCGGCTGAGCGGCCGCTCTCCCTCGTCGCGCCGCGCCCGCGCTCTACCCTTCCTTCCCTTCCCTCCCTCCTATCCGCGGAGGCCCCGCGCCCCGCCAGGCGCCGCCGGCGGGCGGCCCCGCGGCGCGGGCGGCCCCGAGCGCGGCCGCCGCCCGCCCTCACCATGGCCTCGAGCTTGGCGAGCGCCGTCTCCATGTTGAATAGTTGACATTCCTCAGGCGGCGGCGGGGCGATCCCCACCCCCCGCGCGGCGCACGGGAGAGCCGCGGCCGCCCATTGGCCAGCTGTCACTCGCCGCTCGCCTCCGATTGGCCCCCGGCGCACCGAGCGCGCTCGCCATTGGCCCGGCGGGAATGTAAACCCGCTCCGAGGGACGGCGGCGCTGATTGGCCCGGAGTGAGCTCCGCGCGGTGATTGGCCGGGGCGGGGCGCGCGCCGCTGGCGGGGCGGGCATTGGTCACCCCTTTCCCCCCGCCTCCGGTTCACCCCCGGTCCCTCCGGTGCCCCCGGTGGGGCTGTTGCTCCGCTCCACCGGCCTCCCTCCGGCCGAGCGCTGCCCGCAGCTGATTGTTGGCCCAGGACTCGCTTTCCCAATGGCGGCCCCCGGGACGGGGCGGAGCCAGCACCGGCCCCGCTCCGGTGGAGCGCGCGGGATGGGAGGGGGAAAGGGGGGGGGGTGCGCCTCGGCGCGGCAGCCAATCAGCGCGCGGCTTACACACTCCGCGTGGGGGCCGCGGCTGAGAGCGGCGCTGCCATTGGCTGAGCGCGCCGCCGGCAGCCGTTTGAATCGGCGGCGGGCGCGGCCGGGGGGGACGGGCAGGCCCCGGGACACCCCCCGATTCCAGGGACATTCGTTTGAAATGTGTCTTTTTGAACAGCGATGGCAAAGCATAAGAGATGCAGACGGAAAAGGAGAGCCCGGGGAAGATTTCGACTGGAACAAAAGAGAGACGCTGCAAAGCCCCAGGGCTCCGTTTGTCCTTCCCCACGGTAAGAGGCTCACCCTGAGCTTTGCCTTTTCACCCAATTCCTGGGTTTTGCTGTTTGCTCCCAGTTCCTCCTGGAACTGAGGGAGTAGAATTGTGTTTGGAGCCTGTCTCCATCCTGGCAGGGGTGCTGTGGAATAGCTTCATCTTTCCGAGAGGAAACAGCCTCAGGTTGTGCCAGGGCAGGTTCAGGTTGGATATTAGGAAAAGCTAAAAAAAGACATGGTGATCTTGGAGGTCTTTTCCAACCTTAGTGACTCCATGACTAACTTTAATAACCAGGAAAAGCAATTAGAATAAAAACTGACTTCAAATATTATCCCCCTTCTTCCTTTATTGAAATGTATCTTGCCCTCCCCTGGTTCCTCTGGTCACATTTACTCTCTTGTTATCTGCTGTTCCTACTTGTAATTTCCAGATGATTGGTCACAGTTAACTTTATTAAAGGCTGAAATGATAAATACCATTCTGGCCTCACCCTGAGTTCTGTTGCAGATCACCAGCTGACCTCCCTCTGAACATAACACCCTTCCCAAGGTGCTCCCTCTGGCCACCAGCCTTGCCCAGCATAAAAGATGTGGTAAAACCCTTGGAATCAGCAGCAAAAACTGTGATAAAACCCTTGGAATCAGCAGCATGGCTTCTGTGCTGGTGGGGCCAGAACACGGTTGCACAGGTACAGTTTGTGTTTCTCCATTTTTAGCCACGTGGGAGATGGTTCTCTGGGCTCAGACACAGACTGCATGGGGAGATTGGAGAGCTGAGCTGTACATTTAGTTATCTAAAGTGTATTTATTGAAACATTGAAACAGTTTATTGAGACATATAAGGTATATTTAGTGCTTACTGTTGAAGGAGTAAATAGGAGATGTGTCAAGACATTCAGTCATAGAATCTTAGAATATCCTGTGTTGGAAGGGACCCACAAGGATCATCCAAGTCGAACTCCTGGCCCTGCACAGGACAATCCCAAGAGTCCCAGCATGTGCTGGTTACATATGTCCAATTTGAGCTTTTCAGGTCAAATGTGAATTTTACTTTAGAATTCCTAGATGAAGTGAAAGTTCTTTTAGAAAGTCACTCCTTGGGTTCCTGTCAGGGAATTATTTGATGAAATTTTGTATCTTCCTGTTGTGCTTTTCCATGAACTGCAGTAAGACTTTGACATGGAACTTTGCACTTGTCTCTGGAAACAGAACCTGGCGGTGAAAACACTAAATGTGCTTTCTTTTTATGCTCAGAGTTTTAAGGTGGTTAAAGACACCGTCTTTCCGTCACAAATCTACTTAAGGGAACTAAATGCGTTGAGAGAGCAGCTGGAAAAGCTGGAAAGCGAATTTTCCAAGCTCCAAGAAACACTCCAGGTCAGTGCCAGTCCTGCTGGGACAGGGTAATGTTTGTGTGGGTATGTGAGGAACTGTGGTCAGTGCAGGAACTCAGCAATCTGAAGGGTTCTCAGGGCATTCCTGCACTCCGTTGCTGATCTGCAGTTTCCTCACAGCCAGAGGGAACTGCTTTGCTGATGAGCCTCCTAAAAGGCTTTTGTGCCTGTGCAGATCAACTTTAGCCAGAATTTTTGTCCTCTAAAATTCCATCTCCTTTTGCCAGTGAATTTTATGTCCTCCTGTTTGTTTATGTCGTTTTCAGATGAACGGACCTGCAGCTTTATCTCCAGAAAATTCTCTTTGCCAAAGGTGTCACAGACCAGTCCTGGGTGCTCCTGTACAGACACAGATGAACCTGCTGTCATCAGTGCCTGCTCCTCCACCTCCACCACCTCCTCCTCCGCCTCCTCCTCCTCCCCCTCCTCCTCCTCCACCACCACCACCACTGCCCCCAACAAACCTGCCTCCAGCACCTCTCCTCCTCAAACGGGGCTCTGGCTCCAAAGCACCTCTGGTAAGGACTCAGAAGGCTCCTCTGTTTTTAACCTGGATCCATCAGGAACACGTTTGTGAACAAACACTCACCTGGCAGTCCTGATTCCCCTCCCAAACCCCTTTGTTTTCAGGCCCCGCCAGTGAAGAAGGACGGGCCGATGCAGATCACGCTCAAAGACCTCCTGAATGTCAAGCTGAAGAAGACAAACAACCTGAGAATGGACAAGGTAGACTGGAGGGGACAGGGATAAACAGCTGACAGTGCACAGGGGCAAATCCCACCCTGGAAATGGTGCCTTTCCTGCAGTGCTTGTCTTAGCCCTTCATAGAATTTTTTCAGTAGATTAGTTCTTCTCTCCCAAAGTTCCAAGTAACCATCCTAATTCTGCACTTGGGCATTTAAAGGGAAGAAATGAAGAGACCAACCTCTGGCACTCAGTTCTGATTTCACATTAAGGCCATGGAGCTTTCCTGTAGATTTGTATCTGTGTTTTAATAAATCTATTTTTATCCAAGGCACTTTTAAATAATAATATTATTATATAATATTATATAATATTATATAATAATAACATTTAAATTATAATATATAATATTATATAATAAATCTTAATAGTTAAAAAAAAGCATGAAAGCCATAAACCACAAAAATCTTTCAGAGTTTAAATATTAAATAGGTTTGAAGTTAGTGAAACGTTCTAAAGTTTTATTTGTGGTAACATTTCTTTCCTTGCTTTAGGCAGAATCACCAGGGAAGCCACGCAGGGCATTAATTACAGTCTCAGATCTACAGAGTATTAGTTTGAGACCTAAATCCAAGCCATCAGCTCACGTCACAAATTCCTTAATGTAAGATCCTTTCTTCCCTTCTTGGATATTATTCTATTTCAGTCAGTGATTATCATGGTTTACAGAGTGGAAAATATTTTCTTTGTTTCGTTCTATCAGTACTCCCCCTAAAAATCAGATTGACCTTCGGAAACACCTGAAGAAAGTCAATATCCAAAGGTAAGTTCCTTCCTATTCTCTGAATTCTTTTTTTTTTTTTTTTAATCTAGGGAAAAAACAGAGAACTACTAATAATTCCCCTTGTGTCCAATCTTTTCAGAAGCCCTGGTGGCACTCCTCTAAATAACAAAGAAAACATTGAATGTGGCTCTGGGTTGACACCAATAATGACACAGGCCCTGCGACGCAAATTCCAGGCAAGTCACCCTCTCTCTTTTGGAACAATAAATTGGCTCTAAAAACCATCGAATTTCCTACTGATTTTTCCCTGCTTTGCAGAGGAACAAAATCTGAGGGTTAATAATGTCTTTTATTTTCATGACTTGCTGTGGCTGTCTTATGACAGTTCTTAAGAATTGCACTGTTTTATCTCAGTCACAATCAGTTCAGATCTCCACGTTCTGCCCCTTCCCTTGTTTTGACAGATGGCTCATCCGAAGAGTCCCTCCCCTGCCCGGTTAAGTGCTGCAAACAGCTTTGATGAGAAGTAAAAAGGAAAGTATGTTTATGGAACAATGTATTTTTCATCTGTTGTTGGGAAATCCCATTTTTATCACACTCAGGCACACGTATTTATAAATGCACAAGGGAACAGGATATTATGAAAGCGTGTTAAGAAGATTTTACTTTTTATATTTCTATAATGTCTCAATCAGGTTGCATCTTCATTCTTAATGGAAAAAAAGCATGACATTTCCCAAGTCCTTTGACCACTGGACTATTATGCTCTCAACACTGGTGCTGCTTGTCATATAAATACATATATGTTTGCTGAAATTCAGTATTGTTTATACACCTTTTATATACATATACATATATATATTTAACAAAAAACTAACTTCACAGTAACTGGACAGTTTCAAAGAAAAACAACAGTTTAATGCACTAATATTATTAAATGGAAAAGCTGCAGGACTCAACAACCAGCTTGGTTCTGTGGCCACAAATATACGAGGCAATTGCACTGTGTATTGATTCTGGCTGGGGTCAGGTCACTGGTAAAGGCTGAACTGATTAAAGGCAAAGTAACTCAAAGGCTCCTTCAAAGTCAAGTTTAAGGGCTACAGGGGTGGGAGATGTGCCTGTGCTGTGACCCACTCAGGACGTGGGATGACGATGGAAGGCGAGTCCCGGGGGCGCAGCACTGACGCGGTATCCCGGTGCGGGGCAGCGCTCGCCGGGGCCCAGAGCTGTCCCGGGTGCCCGGCGCGCTGTCACACCCCCCGTGTCACCCTCTGCCCGGTGTCTCCTCCCCGTTCCCGGCCCTTCCCTCCCCGGGGCGGGGCCGCCCATGCGCGGGGCTGGGAGCGGGGCGGGGGCTCCGCCGCTTCCGGGCGGGATCGGGATCGGGATCGGGATCGGGGCTGGATCCCGGGGATGCCGCTGCCGGCCGGTGCCCCCGGGGCCATGGGCTCGGCCGTGGGGCCCATGAGCCTGCGGGACCTGCTGCTGGCGGCCGAGGCGGGCGGCGCGGGGGGCGGCGAGGAGGAGGTGTGCGTGGTGGGCATCTTCGGCAAGACGGCGCTGCAGCTCTGCTCCGAGAAGGAGGCCCTGGTGAGCACCGTGTGCGACCGGCAGGTCTTCCCGCTGTTCCCCGAGGAGGATCCCGAGCCGGCGGACGGCGCGGCGGGGTCCGAGAGTGACCCGGCGAGCAAGGACTACAACCAGCTGCAGGCGTACTACAGCCAGGAGAGCCGCGTGCTGTACCTGGTGCTCACCTCCATCTGCGACACCCCGCAGCTGCTCCGCGCCTGCGGGGACCTCACCGCGGCCGAGAACAGGGAGCCCGGGCCCGGACACCCCTCGGGAGGCCCGGCCCCGCTGCCCCACGCCGAGGCCCACGAGTTCTGGAAGCACCAGGAGAAGCTGCACTGCCTGAGCCTCCTCTACCTGTTCTCCGTGTGCCACATCCTGCTGCTGGTGCATCCCACGTGCTCCTTCGATATCACCTACGACCGCGTGTTCCGAGCGCTGGACGGGCTGCGGCAGAAGGTGCTGCCCTCCCTCAAGGCTGCCATCAAGGACTGCCCGGTGGGCAAGGAGTGGAAGCTCAACTGCAGGCCGTGCCCTCCGCGCCTCCTCTTCCTCTTCCAGCTCAACGGGGCTCTGAAGGTGGATCCCCTCCCCAGCAGGGGCCAGGACCCTTGTGGTCACCTGGAAAAGCCACCCCCCAAGAAGCACTCCCCCAAGAGGAGGCTGCAGCACGCTCTGGAGGATCAGATCTACCGCATCTTCCGCAAGAGCAGGGTGCTCACCAACCAGAGCATCAACTGCCTGTTCACTGTGCCCGCCAACCAGGCTTTCGTGTACATCGTGGCTGGGGGGCCCCAGGACGGAGATGACCCGGTGGCCATGCTTCTCGACCAGCTCAGGAGCAACTGCACCATGAGGGAGCCCGACTCGCTGCTGGCTCCCACGCTGTCGGGACCCAGGAGGTACCAGATGATGCGGCACGGGCGGCAACAGCTCTCCTTCCACGCGGAGAGCAGCAGCTCCAGCTCCAGCTCCTCAGGGCAGCTCGTGGACTGCACCCTCAAGGAGTTCTTGTGGCAACACGTGGAGCTGGTGCTCAGCAAGAAGGGCTTCGATGACAGCGTGGGGAGGAACCCGCAGCCCTCCCACTTCGAGCTCCCAACCTACCAGAAGTGGGTGGCTGCAGCTCTGAGACTGTACGAGGTGACCATCGAAGGCAAGGACGACGACCCGACCTCCGGGGAGCTGAGCTCCAAGATCATGAGCAGCATCAAAGTCTTGGAAGGCTACCTAGACATAGACACCAAGTTCTCCGAAAACCGTTGCCAGAAGGCTCTGCCCATGGCCCACAGCGCCTACCAGTCCAACCTGCCCCACAATTACACCATGACGGTGCACAAGAACCAGCTGGCCCAGGCCCTGCGGGTGTACAGCCAGCACGCCCGGGGCCCGGCCTTCCACAAGTACGCCATGCAGCTCAACGAGGACTGCTACAAGTTCTGGAGCAACGGGCACCAGCTCTGCGAGGAGCGGAGCCTGACTGACCAGCATTGCGTGCACAAGTTCCACCTGCTCCCAAAAGCAGGTAGAGATGCTCACTGGTGGTTGGGTTTCGTGGTGTAGTTTTGCATCTGCCCTCAAAAAGGCTGAAACGCCGACTCTGGCAATATTAAGGAAGATTGAAAGTGCGAGGTGCGAGGAGGTGATCGGACAAAGGTTGGACTCAGCGATCTCAGAGGTCCTTTCCAACCTAAATGATTCCGTGATCGTCTTTGTACAGTGGGATTTTGGCAGAGCTGTCGTGCAGGTTTCCCTTATGTTAAATAATGCTTGGGAGCCAAACATTAGGCATTTAATGATGTTAGGGAGCCATACAGTCCACTGTCAGCGGTAACTTTGGTTTTAGTAGTAAGTCTAATTTTAGCAGCTCTAATTTGGTGGTCGCTGATGTTAGTAACTCTAATTTTAGTGGCCGCTCTGATTCTATCTTGCTAATGAGAAGCATCACACTGAAGTCCTTCTAGGAAGCAGTAGGTGCCCCCCTTTGTTTTAAATAACTTGGTTGATGACAATCAAGGAGTCAAAACTGTCTGATGCATGTTTACTGCAGGCAAAGGAACTTTGAGCCTTTTAGGAAGAGGTTGTAAAAACAAGATTCAGTTTATTGGTATAACGTCCTCTGGAACTTTGTGTTAAAAGTGGGAAAGGGAGGAAATGCTTGGCAAACTGCTGGCAAATCATTTTGTGTGTGTGTGTATTAGCAAGGAGGAGGCAGAGGGTGAAGGGAATTAATCTCCAGAAATGGTGAGCAGTTTCCCCAGGGTTTGATTGATTTTTGCCTTTAGGGGAAAAGCCAGAAGCAGACAGAAATCCTCCCATCCTGTACCACAACAGCCGGGCTCGTTCCACTGGGGCCTGTAACTGTGGAAGGAAACAAGCGCCTCGGGAGGACCCCTTTGATATCAAAGCAGCTAATTATGACTTTTACCAGGTAACTGTTAGGTCTGTCGTTGCTTTTTGTTTCATCAGCAGAGCCTGTGTTCTGAAGAGACCACAAATTTCCTCTTAACCTTATCACCTTGTTGCTTGGGGAAGATGTTTCTGGGAGCAGAAGTTGTCTGAGCAGAGCGGGCAGTTCCAATCCTCACCAGTGAACACACACAGGAGCACCTGTAAACACACCTGTTTACACCTTGAGTGTGTTGGTTCATGTGAATTTTGAATAATAAGTGGGCCACGTTCCCATCACTGTTTTGGTTCTCACATAGCTCAGTCCTCTTGAATCTTATTTGTAGCTGCTGAATGTTGTGGCTTTGATCTCAAGGGTAGAAGGGGTATGGTTTAACCACATTTTCTTTCTCGTAGCTACTGGAAGAAAAGTGCTGTGGGAAACTGGAGCACATCAACTTTCCCATCTTCCAGCCGAGCACGCCTGATCCGGCACCTGCTCGGGATGAATCCTCGCCTGCCCCTCCAGAGGGCGAGATGGAGAAACTTAAAGAGAAAGAACCTCAGACCCAGGGGGAGAGCACAGGCCTGAGCTTAGCCCTCAGCCTGGGCCAGTCCACGGGCAGCCTGGGCACCTACCCCCCCGATGCCCAGGGTGGAGGGGACAATGCAGAGAGCCACGGCCAGAGCGGGGACTCCAAAAGCGAGAAGAGGCCGAGCCTGGTGGATCGCCAGGCATCCACTGTCGAGTACCTCCCCGGGATGCTCCATTCCAATTGCCCCAAAGGCCTCCTGCCCAAGTTCTCCAGCTGGTCACTGGTTAAGCTGGGGCCTGCTAAGGCTTATAACTTCCACACGGGCTTAGATCAACAAGGCTTTATCCCAGGAACAAACTACTTAATGCCTTGGGACATCGTCATCAGGACGAGAACCGAAGACGAAGGAGACTTGGATACCAATTCCTGGCCTGCACCCAACAAGGCCGTTCCTGGAAAAAGGAGCGCGGTTGTGATGGGAAGAGGGAGGCGCAGAGACGACATCGCCCGAGCGTTCGTGGGCTTCGAGTACGAAGACGCCCGTGGCAGGAGGTTCATGTGCTCGGGGCCCGACAAAGTCATGAAGGTGATGGGAGGGGGGCCGAAGGAATCTGCCCTCAAGGCCCTCAACTCCGACATGCCGCTCTACATCCTGTCCTCCACCCAGGGCCGAGGCCTCAAACCGCACTACGCCCAGTTCATGAGGCTCTTTGTGGTGGTTCCCGATGCTCCGCTGCAGATCACGTTGACGCCTCAGGTACGGATGGAAGAGGGAATGTGGGAACAGCAGAGGCAGGGGTGGCTGTGGCACCGCTGATGCAGGACTGGCAGGCGTGAGGGTGACAGGGAAACGGTGTGAAGAAACTCTTCCCAACTCAAACCAACTTCAGCCAAGTTCTTTCAGGCAGTTGCCACCAAAATTATCTCTTTTAAACTTAAGTTTTTAAACTTCGAGGTTGGCTTTGCCAGCTTTACATTTTACGTGAAGTTTAAAAAGAATTCTATCAAGGATGATTTGTTGGCATTCCCTGCTATAATAATGCCTTTTTTTTAAAAAAAAAGAAGATAACAAGTGAGTAATGACTGTGTAAGAATGAATCTGTCCTTTTAAATGTCATGGAGAAAAAGCAGTGACTCACGGCTGAGATTAATTATTATTAGTGACAGTTTGAATTTGGGAGGTGAGAAAGTGTTTTTTTTTTAACTGGAGATTTTATCACCATTTTCAAATACGCATTTAAAAAAATGGAGAAAAAGCTCCGTTTACACTTTTTTTTTTCTTTTTAAGGTAGCAATGATGTTTGATTATCTACTCACGTTTCCTTTTGATTTTAGGTTCAACCAGGGCCACCACCCTGCCCTATATTTTACCCTGAGAAGCAGGAAATAACCCTTCCCTCCGATGGACTGTGGGTGCTCAGGTTTCCTTACGCTTACGTGACAGAACGTGGACCCTGCTTTCCTCCCAAAGAAAGCCAACAGTTAATGAGCTACAAAGTTCTCCGGGGAATCCTGAAAGCAGTCACACAGTAAGAGTTGTCCTGGCAGGTTTGTTTTGGTTTAAAAAGACCGTCTTCAATCTAGTCCCTGGATTTTGGTTCGTGTCACTGCGATCGTGTGAAGCCCCACTGTCCCTCACTGGAACACAGACTGAAAATAAAGTCTGATATCAAAGCAGAAAAAGGAATCTGAGACATGTAAATTTTCCATTTATTAAGTTGCCATATGTAAAAAATAAATGCTGGTTTTCGTAAAGTGCTGATCCTTTATTACAAGATGGTTTGGTGATAGCGCTTTTCCCTGTCCTGTCTTTGTACGTAAATACTTAGGGATGTTTAAAAATTAGTGTTGCCTGAAATCAAGAGTTTC